CTTGGTTTTGGGTTAATAAAACCTCACCTACTGTTATCTCCTTTGTGTACATCCTTGAGTCTTTTCTCCAACTAGACCAATAACCTTCTGGCCCAAAACCCAGTGACACAGATCTGGTAACAGTCTAACATAAATAGTTCTATTTGATGTATATGTGTTCCTTTTAATGACCTATCCAATAACTAATGATTTCTACTTTACAGGAAAAAAACCTTAACTACACTATGAAAAGCAATCAATGAAATTCAATATGAAGTTCACAATCAATGAAATTTAATAGTGAAGGACACAGACAATGTCCCTGAGGTTTTTCTGTAAGGTGACTTTTGGCAAACAGAATAGTCCAGTAATGCTAACTGTGTGTACTTGATTAGGCCTATTGTCTAGCTTTCTATCAATGATGAAAGTGACAGTTCTAAAGCCTGTCTTTAACTTTATTGATTTACCTAATGTGAATTAAATATGTACTGTAGCAAGCATTATATGGAAACAGGACTTTTCAAGAAACTTCACAAAGCTCATCATAAAACACATGTGCTATCAGTTAATACCACTAAGCCAACTTATCTTTTTATTTTGACTTTATCCACACAAGTTGCTGTTCATGACAAATATTTGTCAAGCGAGCATACTTGTCCTTGATTAGGCACAAGCTTCTTAAACATGGACCAAAGGCTGAGTAAATATTGTTGATGTCAGGAGCCTTTGGTTTCAATGTAGACTTAAATAGCAGAAGGCAAATTTAATGAGTTACATTCTTATTTTTATAAGTGTGGAATCATCCTGTGTGTAGCATTTATTTGTTCTTTTCTATTGTAGAGACTCACGCATCATAAATTAACTTTACTGTTACAAGAAAACTAGTCAAAATTTAAAGGAATTAAAAGCATTGTTTTCTATTGGTACTGATGGATCCTGAAAAAAAAATGCTATTGTTACTAATTTAGTTTCTATTCTTAATTTTCCACATGATATGACTCTCATAACTAATATCTGACCAGAAATGTTTGAGTGTCTATGCATACTGCTATTCTCCTGGGAACAGCCTCTACTTACATGTATTTAAAAGAAATCACAAAACACACTATAAATTTTGTAATATTTTACAGAGATTTTGCTACAATAGCAAAACAAAAAAATCTGTATGGATAAGTTTTATAGAAGCTAAGATTTAAAATAAACTCTGTTTAATGGAAAGATATTAGCAGGGGCAGGAGTAGGGAATAATGAATAAGAATCACACATATATGTGTATATGCACTTTTATGTCTATAAATAGCATAGTATGTATATATTATATATATATATATGGTCAAAGTAGATTATTTTCATGTTTAAAAACAGAACAGTAAGATCTTTTGGAATTTATTTTTAAGAAATGGAATAGAATAAGAAGCAGTGGTAGAAGGGTTGAGTTGATGGTGTGCAAAATTTCACAATGAAAGCCTTCTTTTTTAAAAATTCTTTTTCCTCTCAATTTTATTGTTTTTTAAATTGTGAAAATACCATACAGAGGGGTTACAATTACACGAGTAAGGTAATGAGTACATTTCTTATCAAGCATTGTTGTCTCTTCCTTTGTTTCCCCTTACCATCCTTTCCCACCTCTCCTCCTGTCCCCCCTCCATGCCAAAGTTGTAAAGTTCATTTTTCAACATAACATCTTGTATATCTCATTGTTGGAATGGGTCCACCTATATCCCTATTTAAACAATTGGTTTTTTCCCCTTCCCCTCAACAAATTATACCAACATCAATTACAGTGAAAACAAGGATTATACCATGCGGGAGGGATGTACAAAGCAACAAAGAAATATCATATAAATATGTTAGAAATAATAGCAAGAAAGAAAAACCATTTGAGTCCTTATCTTGGGGTTCATTTTGCCTAAGATCAACTTATCTGACCATTTCTGCTTGTCTCAGATATATACTAATTATTGCAAATAAGGGAAATCATGGGACCTATGTTTTCCTTTGGGCCTGGCTTACTTCCCTTAATACAATTTTTTCCAAGTCTTTCCATTTCCTAACAAATGGGGCAATGTCATTCTTTCTTATGGAAGCATAGAATTCCATTGTGTATATATACCACATTTTCTTGATCCATTCATCTACTGAGGAGCATCCGGGTTGATCAAATGAAAGCCTTCTTAGCCAACTATTTAAAACAAAGATATGAAATTTGTGTGATATCTACTAATCTTAAAATGTAGGTCTTTTCTTATTCATTTCTGATAAAAGTAAAATTAATAATTTAGATTTTTAAATGCTATTGATGAGCCAATACATTAATGCATGATGTCTACTTACCTGAAAAAATTATTTTTTCAGAGAATATGTAAAATCCCTTTTTAAGAGTGTAAATGTTTATTTTTGATCCAATATAAATTTTATGAGAGATAAATGAACTAAACTGTCTCAGTATTATCTGACTGATTTAATTTCTAAACTAAAAGTAATATTTATTTTTAATCTATCAAATATTTACTTTTGTACCCATTTAATGAAAAAATACTCTTTCAGGTAGCTACATTGGTTGAAAATCAACAGTACCATGTAGACAGTATTTACACCGAAGACCCATAGTGATTCAAAATTTAATACAAAGACTTGATTTCTGTATGCTTATATGTGATCCTTTTATCCGTGTTTGGTTTCACTAGGCCAATATTCACATATAAAGGATATAGCCAAGAACTTATTGTCACCAGTCAATGGGACTTGAGTGACATCTGAGTCATCAGAACACCAGCTATAAGTGTCCTTATTGCTAAAATTAAAGCTTAAAAACTTTATTGCATTCATATATTGATGCAAAAATATCATTATAAAATAAGGTAGGAAATTCACTTCCTTTTTCTTTCATAAAGTTAAACCAAATGGGATATTTAGGTCTCTCTTCTTTTTTGCCAGTACTGGGGCTTGAACTCTGGGACTGGGTGCTGTCCCTGAGCTCCTTTTACTCAAGGCTAGTGCTCTACCACTTGAGCAGGAGGTCCACCTTTTTTGAGATTAAAACCGGATAATCTCACAGAGTTCTCTGCCTGGGCTGTCTTCAAACCACCATGCTCAGATCTCAGCCTCCTGAGTAGCTAGGATTATAGGCATGAATCACCAAAGCTTGGCTATTTATCTCCTTTTAAAATAATTATTATCTTTTTGGTATTTTATTAGAAGTTTTAGAATAAAAAAAATCTGTCCAGAAGAAAAAAATAAACTTTTTAATAACATGGCTTATTTCAGTCTTCTGACTTTCCTTGTGGTAAAACATTATGATTAATTAAATTTAGATAAAATCATGATAAATCTGAAAATGTGTACACTCTAGAAAAATTAAAGAACTTGGTTAAAAGCTTGGATTTTAGAATCAGGCTTGGGTCTAATTTGAGTGTCGTGTCCTTTTATTTAAACTTCCAGTGTGAACTTTTACTTCCTGAAAATGTGTGCCAGTTTGTTGAGATAACATATGAGAAGCTATTGGTACAAGGCTTGGCACACAGCAAATGACAATTAACTGATAGAAAGAAGTTCTGTTCCAGTAGATTAAGGGCAGAGTTTTCATTGCAGGTCAGTATGAAACAAATGACCCCTGAATTAACCTTGAAATACATGGAGAAATGAGAACACACTGCAAAAAAGAGGGGTGAGGGGTTAATGAAAGACGTCGGTCTGGCCAAACACAGCAACTGAGAGACTCAGGCCATAAGTACTAAGAATAGACAGAATTTTTTAAACCTGGAATATTTTTCTAATTATAATTAATGGATATGGTAAAGTTTTAAATAGGAAAATGATTATAGAATATTGATGCTTCTTTAATAGTCAGTATGGCTGCTGAGAAGCACAGGATATCATCAATTGAATGAGAACAGTATGAAATAGAAATTTGAAGTATTAATTCACATGGTAAGTGGGGGAAAATATACTTAACTTAAAACTGTACTAGTATATTGGAGTGTCAGATAAAAAAAAAACAACAATACTTAAAATTGAGGTGTGCAGACTTTTACGAATAGTACTTTCAGGGAGAAGAGTAATGACCCTTGTTTAACTCTGAACACCCCCTCTCATAAAAAGAAAAATAGAAGTCACTAAGTCAGTTCACACATGACTGTAATTTCAGGAAACACAGCACATCCAAAATTTTAAAATAAGTAAATACCAAATTAAAAAAAAAACTGACAGCGGTCCAGTCCACCCCATGTATTGCTGTTGACTTAGGAAGGCAGAGAGGGAGACTCAGGAAATACAAGAATATGATATCAGATGTACACCTGAAAATCACATCACAGAGAAACCATTAGGCTAGTTTGCAAAAATAAAGCATGTACAGAGGTGAGGTAAATTCAATTGCATTCAAAAGACTAGAACAACTGCAGAAACATTAGAGATTTGAGGAAATTATATCAACTGTGACATCTGGCAGCAGGAAACTGGTGACTGGCTAGGGGAAAGTCAGAATGTTTCATAGGAACTTGATATGAAAAACAGAGAAGTTACATTTGGAGAGATCGAATTGGGAGTCCTCATTAGAAAGCCAGCGACTGCAGAGGGATTTCACTCTCAAAGACCTACAGCCAAGAATTACATATAACATTTAACTTTTTAAAACTTCACAAATTTCTCCTTGGGTTTCAGTAGTGTAACCTATTTAGCACTCTGGTTTGCAAAAGCAATATCCTGTCTGACTGGAGTACCTGATTGTTAGTGTCCCTCACAATGTCTAAATTACCTCTGTGAGCTTTTAGACATCCCTCAATAGGGACATGATCTCAGGTTCATGCCCTATAGGGTACAAACCTCTTTTCCTGAACAGATGAATTTATGTGGCTAGTGCTAGATCAAAATTCACTGCCAATTAGGATTTTGAACAGATACTGGGGGGTGGAATTTTTGTTAACTTTAAGTTATCCTCCATTTGACATCCCTAGCATTTTACTACCCACTATAACACATGCGTGACAGGCAAGGGTGTAAGTTCCTATCCAGTCACAAAGTAGACAGACATGGGCATTAGATAAGCATGCTTATGAACTACTTCTTATGACCTCCTGGTTATGATTAATTTTGAAGGGCCAAACAGATGTGACTCCATTAAGATGTGACACTATTCTTCTTATCTGAATAGTGTCTTCTGACTGCCACTGGGTGTCCCCTTGCTGCCAGAACAAACTTTGTCCCAGGAGTGACTTCTCCTTGCTAGGATAATGCCCCACTTAGCATTTCCTTACCAACGGCCCCTTATTCCCAATTGTAGCACCAAGAAGATCAATAGAAATAGATTTTAAGCAGGGCTTACCTAGATCTTATTAAAAATCAGATGTCTCATTAAATTCTTGATTTCAGATCTCTCCAATTTGTTGATGTAGGAACTCAGAGCTATAAACTTGCCTCTGAGTACTGCCTTTCCTGTGTCCCAGAGGAGCTGGTAATTTGTGTGCTCATTTTTGTTGAATAGCATGAACATTTGAATTTCCTTTCTAATCTCTTCCTTGACCCACTCGTGATTCAGCAGTGTGTTGTTCAGCCTCCATGTGTTACCGGACTTTCAAGCAGAAAAGGTCAGATCAGGTGATGTTAGGAAAATGAACCCTAAGATATGTATTTTAAATGTTTTTTTTTCTTTCATGCATTTGTTTCTAACGCATTTATAAGATTATTTCTTTGTTGCTTTGTATGTCCCTCCCCCACAGTATAAGCCCTGCTTTCACTGTATTTGATGTCCGTATAATTTGTGGAGGGGAAGGGGAAAAACAAGTCGTTTAAATAAGGATACAGGTGGACCTGTTGCAACAATGAGAAGTACAAGTTGTCATGCCGAAAAGAACTTTACAACTTGGGGGGTGGGGGGTAGGAGGATTGGGTGGGGGAGGGGGGGGAGGATGGGAAGGGATGGGAAGGGTAAACAAAGGAGGAGGCTACAATGCTTGATAAGAAATGTACTCACTATCTTGCCCATGTAATTGTAACAGTATTTTCTGTATTTTCTCTGTACAGTATTTTCACAATAAAAATAAATAAATAAAAATAAATAAATAAAAATCAGTTGCATCTTACAAACTTGTAAGAGTTTTATGTCCCTCTGTGGGCCAGCCTGTAATTGCTATAGAAGATCTGAAATGGCATAACTGAAACAGCAACTGAACAATCATATTCTCTAAATTAAATATATTTTAATTTAATTTAAATAAATTAAATTATTTATTAATTTAATCAATTACATCAAATTAATTAATTAAAATAAGTTTAAATAAATTAAATTTAAATAAGTATATTTTAATTAAAATATATGTAATAATATATTTAATAATATATGTAAAATATATAATTACATATACTTTAATTTAATTAAAACATTTTTAATTAAATATAGCACTTTAGGACACTGATTGAAACCATTTCTACTGTCAATCTTTGTGATTACTATGAAGAATGCAGAAAAATGGCTCTGTATCCAAGGCAGCTCATACTTCGGAAACATATTAGAGAGCAAAAAGACCTTGACATAAATATGTAAATGAACTTTGGTAGTTCTAATTTCCTCTTTTCCACTTTGAAACAAACATTTGGGACAATGTTTACTTGCAGATTCCCTTTATCTAGGAGTCTACTTTTAATCCTCTTTTCAAAGCCTTTATTTAACTAATTTCTCCTTTAGCACTTCACATTCCCATTGTTAATTTGCATTTTAATTAACCCTTAGAAATCCTGAAACAATTGGTAATGTCCATTTACCTGTTTGTAGCCTGAATTTAAATCTCTACCCCATTTTTTTATTCTGCAGTCTGAATGAACTCTTAGAAAACTTTGAACTCAAATGATATAGTTTTTCTACATCCAAGAATTATATGTAGTCCAGACTTAAGAAACTTAAAGAATCTCAGACCATCTTTTGCTTTTTCCAAAATGTATCTAATTTCAAAATAATGTTGAAATTTAAAGTTCTACTTTTAGGCCATGGTACTGTACATGCTAACTTATATTGAGAACAAATTATATTACACAGATTAGCCTTTTTCCTTTTTAATCCTCATTTTTAAACTTTTTCCAGTTTTTTAATACATCTCGAGAGCCAGTTTATAGGAATACTAATCACATTATCCACATTACTGTCAGGTTTTCAGTGTCTCTCTGTATGGAAAAGAAAGAGAAGTACCTTTATGAAATGGACATGGACAGCCATTCAACTAAATGGACCATGCCTTACATAATGCTAGTCCCCTGGGGCTGGATGAACTGCATCTTTTCACCAGCTCATCCCTACCCCTTTTAGGGCTGGATAAACTTCACCTTTGTGCTAGCTCATCTCTCACACCTTGAAGATAGGTAACACCAGCCCATCCTATGGCTGGTCACTAGGGCTGGATGAACTGTACCTGTGTCTGTCAGCTCATCCTTTTCCAAGATAGGCAACACCAGCCCATCCTGTATTGCAAGACCAAAACAGTTATAGACAGTCAGTATAATGTCTTTCACAGTGATAAACAAACCTTAATATTCAAATTCATGATACTTAGCTCCAAATCTTAACAATGGAGAGAAATGAATCTTAAACCCTCAAAAATTTACATTTTTTCTACGTCAGATAACCCTTGATTGCAGTGCTAACAGCTTTTATCTTGAACATATCTACACATTCACAAATACACACACACACACACACACACACACACACACTTGTGTACAAACGTCTTTAAGTGAGTAAAAATGATTATTGGCTATATATTTTCTGGAATTCCAGTGGCAAGATATACTTATTTTTATAAATTACCAAAATTTGAAACAAATTTTGCTAACAAAGCATATTAGTATCTCCCAGCCTCATTTTTCCAAGGCTTACATTTGCAAGCAAGGCATACTAGCATATGAATTGACCTTTGAATACCTTTAGATGGAATTAGGGTAGAGTTCACCTGAAGCAAAACTCCTAGCCTACCAGTTAGCTTCACTCTGACTTTTACCTATTTTACACTAGAGCACTTTCCCAATTCCAATTTGCCAAGGTTAGCTAGAGGTCTGAACCAGTCACATACCACCCTCACCATACCTTCAACAGCCAATGAACATAGGTGGCATAGCAGGCCTATGATCCCAGAAGACACCAGAACTTTGATTTCCCCCATAGAGATGTATAACTGAAGAACAATGACACAGAAAACAAGGATCCACATTACAAACTGTAACCATTTTTAAGAAAACAGAATGAGACAATACCAAGACAAAAACACAAACATCAAAGCCAGCTGTGTGAGTTCTCTTGCACTATGGGTGGGCTTCTCCCACCTCAGGACCCTAAAATCTTCTGTTGTCATCACTAACCTTGATGCCTGATTGGTGGAACAGGGGCATCTCAAATGCATCTGCGCCCCTTCCCCAACATTTCTAAATGGATCAATTGCTAGATTGATAGAAAAATAGGCAAACAGAAAACAGGTTAAAGAAAAACAGAGACTTAATTCTGAAAGATTCCTGAGTGACTCCAAAAACTTTAGTGGCCTGTCAAGCATCCACAAGCTGGCTGTCGGGGAAGTGGAAAGATCATGGGGCCCTGGAACATCTCAGATAAGACCTCCCCTGTGAGGTTCACATCCCTTGGCAGCAAGCTCATCAAGGCCATTTACCAATGGTTTCAAGGAGCCCAAATGCTTCCCTTTGCACTGGGATCTCGCTGAGGCCTCCTAATATTATACTGGAACTTAATCGTGAGAAACAGAGAAGTCACATCTTGAGAGGATGAGTTGGGAGTCCTCATTAGAAAACCAATGACCGCAGGTGGACTCCAGTCTCAAAGACCTGCAGCCCAGAATAGAGCTAGGACCAAGCTTTTAAAGACAAAATCCAAGTGCCAGTGAAGCATTCTCTGGATAAACAGCATAACATCTGAATATTGTCTGAAGCGGAGCTCTTCTAGCTCTCCTGAAGGTAAGCATTTATAATTCAAAGAAGGGCTTGTCTCACCTCTAGGCTTTTCAGAGCAGAGTGAAAAGCCCCTTGACTTAGCTTGGTGCCAGAATGGCTGTGAGGACAAGAGACATTATTTAGATCCAGTATCCAAATTTCAAGAAGAAAAGTATATTTTTTAAGTTATGTGCTATGGTTGTGTTGTGTAGGTATGTTTGTGTGTGTGTGTGCCTGTGTGTGCGCGCGTGTGTGTAAGCTTGGAAACTAAATTCTCTCAAGATGTTTTGCCTTGTGCATTTTTTTGCCAATGAGAAACTTCATGATAAATACTCCAAGGCATCAAACACTTAAAAGAATTGTATTTGAAGAAAAGGAAGTTAAAACTGAAACATTTACAAAGAAGAGAAAGATGACTAGAATAAGCAAGGTATTTTCATTTATTCATACTCTTTTCCATCCAAATGGATTTAAGAGAACTTTCAAAAATAGATTAAAAATCAATAAACTGGAAGTAGAGGAAAAAATGATTGATACAGTTCTCATCAACAAGGAAGAGGTAAATGGGAGGTCCTACCTTCTTCACCTCCGGGAATGTATCTTCTATTAAAACCAGTCATATCTCCTGATTGGTCCAGGCTGAGCTACTGCCTTTCTAATTGTATTTCCTATCAAATGACTTTGTGGCTAAATATACAATTTAATCAGTCTTCTTCAGATCATCAGAAACAATCTTAATTCTTTTTTCCTCAGAGAAATAATAATTTTTGATATTTTCTTGTAAGATATTTTGATTTTAGTAAAGTTTTAGATTTGTAGAAATTACTGGTAAGGTGGAGCAGAGTTCCCATTTAAACTAAACTAGAATTTTCTCTCTAGGAACTAATTTCCCAAACCTAATCCCTAGTTTCCTCAATTGTGAATATCTTACACTAGAATGATTCACTTGTTAAAATTATTTTTAAATGTTGCCAAATTATTATCTAAAATCAGTACATTACTCAAATGTCTTCAGGTTTTCTTCTAATGCTCTTGTTCTAATGATATAGTACACTATGTAGTTAAGTGTTCTTTGGCCTTCCTGTCTCTTGGCTTGGACATTTCTCATATCTTTTTAATTTTGAGTTCCACAACAGGTAACAATTACTGTTCAGGTATTTTGTCATATGTCAATCAGTTTGAATCTGCCT